CCTATAGTTAGACAAACGATATTACTTTAAAACAATGATTACAATCAAAGAGAAATGTTGATATTAAGAATTGAATGTTTCACATTTTAATTTGTGAGAAAGATATTTGTATAAGTCGTGATCAAATTTCAATGTTGAAATCAGCGCATACTTTCATATTTTGAGCTTTTCAGAAACTGTCGAATGTTGCCGAATTAAATCAGCTTGTCACAAATTGAAAATATTTTTTCACAGGATCACATTTTATAACAAAACAACCCTATTCAACAGCAGAAGGCCTACAATTAAAGTTCGGTAGAAATTGTTTGAGTTTTTTATGATTTGGGAATAACATCTAGTTGGTAGATCATTAAAAGTGAAATCTTGCATAAATGTAGTCTACTCTAATAGAGATAATCTAAATGTTTATACGTGATAGAAAACCATATGAATGTTATCGAACTAGAACTGTTTATAAAATGTTATTTATAAAATATAATATCTAGTAAACAATTTTGTCATCAATTAATTTTATATCAAAAACATTCCGTCTTTTCCAGTAGTCATATGGTTTATACTAAATACACTAAATGAGTTGCATCAATCGTCACCTTTTACCATAGTCTGTATATATCAGTTTAGTTTAGAACCAGTGCTGTTGAAATATCTAATGAATTTTATTATAGCTTTATGTTTTATTATCATTTATAAACCCAAGAACATGATTATATACAAGTTCGGCCCTCAGAGAAGTCACGAGGTACTAGAAATGCATAATAAAATAGTTATAACCAGTGTATATTGGAAACAAAAACTAGAAAACAATCAGCAAGCTTGTACAATGACTGCAAAAAGATTAAATCCCTGTGATGAAAATAATAGATGTATATCTGGAAAATCTACACCAGGTCTGTGCTCGTCTGTAATACCAGAAAAAAAAAACTTTATATTTAAATTATCAAGATAAATATACTTTCAGGTGTACAATCTTATATTGTATACTGCTCTAAACTTGCACCTGAAATAGTTGTTCTGTTTCTAACCTGTCTTCATTAGCCCATTTGCAGCAGAAAGGTAGGACGTTAAACTAAATTCATTTAATTTTTTCTAAAATTCAGATGAATGAGTATTGTATTGAGTATTGTTCCACTCTTCTTAAAGGTAGCTGAAATGAGGTTTCCCATTGCACAAATAAGACAACAACGATCATTTTAACAGAAGTAACTCGCTTACCGCTCGCCTTGCAGAAGGTGTTGATGAAATTCTCAAATTGAAAAGTTTGTAATAGAAACTGACATGTTCTAGAATTGATATGATCATGTAATATAATGTATATAAATAAAATATAAATATATCATAAACTGTTTATTGTAAGTGATGATAGAAAGATACATTTACAAACACAACTCTATTAACACTTCACTATCAGACTCTAACCGGCATCTTAACACTATATTCCACACCAACCCTCTTGATATAGACCACGCTTAATAAACCATTAACACTTTCATCTTATATTATAATTTCACAACTTTCTCTTATAGATAATATTTGATTTGCAATAAGAACACCCTTGTTTAAGCATATTGCTACTTAAAAAGTATACTCGCTGGCGTTGTAAGATTTGGTTTTTTTTTTTAATTGATCAACAAGTGAGCTATAAATCTGTTTAACACAACTTATATGAATTGGGTCTTTTAAATGGTTTCAAATAATTTATGGACGTTGATTGTAGGGATTACCTACTAGGGCTACATGTACCAAAACAAATTCCATACACAGGACAAAGTCCACAAGCCGATAAAAGCAATGTAGTTATCGTGGAAGGAGTTCGGAAACAATCCTGGATCATTTTAGATGAAAGGGATTGACAAAGCTAGGTGTCCGCGAGAACAGTATAGCTTTAATCCTTTGTGCTATTTAAAAAAAATATAATTGTAGCAACCATACAAAATGTAAGGGCCGACAACAGACGTTTTCTGTTTTCAAGGGCATAATACATATTTAAATCTTTCTTGCATATACCATGTCCACAGAATCAACAACTATTGAAGTACCATGGAAAATGTTTTAAACAGTTTAAATGAAAAGATTTAAACATAAGTGATTTGTAGTTGACAGATAGTAATATAAATATATATTAAATATAATACAAATATACCGTTGATTCTAAACATCTGTACTTCAATGTAGATATTCAACCTTAAGGACGATAGACCATAACTTTCAGAAAAAAAAAAGTGTAATGGCATTCTTGGATTGTATGCCTTATTTTTGGAAAGAGTTATTCTATTAAACAAGAGAGACATTGTTGAGACTCTTATTCTCTAACTAGAGGTTTTAGTGATCGATTTCTCGTCTTTGATGCAGGACAGAGGGATTGTTCGCAAATTTCCTCGACCTTTGCTTTCCTGAGCATGTTTTGAGAAAGTTTACCTCAAAAATTATTGCCCAGAGAAAACGTCCTCTCTGCACAATGAATGATGTCGCCCGATTCAATAAAGTTCATTTTGCCATGTACAATAGGACGTTAAAATCAGTTTCATCTCATTTTTGCAAATTGATACAAAGCCGGAATACGTTAAGATAATCGGTTGTCAAATTGGTTCTTTTTGATCCATTATCTTAATATAAACAACTGATATCTACATTATTGAATTAATTGTTTTATAACATTCTAAATGTTTTTGATAATAAGTTGGTGAAAACATTATAATTACATTAACAAATATGATTAAGTCAAAGAGAAATGACATAAATCAGTAAATACAGTTTGGATGAGGACGTAAGGTGATACTGAAGAACTCTGTATCAGTGTTCTGTGAGATACAACACACCACTTGTAAGTGATAACTCCAATCATATATAGAAACTTTTCCTTTAATCTTAAATTCTTATTGCGATTAGTGATAATAACGTCTCTTTGAAAAGCAATAGTTTTATCAAACTTTTTTTCTCTCGATTAAGGTATCACTTTCTGGGGAAAATACCATTAAAATAGATGGACGTTATGGTCAAGAAATGTTAAGTTATGAATCAAAAAAGTGCCGAATGTTCTGGTATTTACCTGTCAGTGCCATAATGGTCCACATAGATTTTGGTCTTCATCTGTACCACCAGCAAATAGACCGTAGCATGGAAAACAAAAACTTACGACTGGTTTATACATTGCAAACACCTTTATCGTAGGTAAGGTAAGACATTATCAGTGCACCACCGAGACTTTCTGGTCATGGCGAGTATACATCACGATTTAGTCCATGTATGTCTAATATTGTTACTGAGACATGTATAAGGTCAATTAACCGTCTATTATTTTGATATCCACAGAAGTAAAAAAGGGTATATTATTGTAGACAAAAGAAAAAACACAATTGAATTGAAAATAGGAAGATAACTGTCAGACAAAAGAAAAAGCAACTTAAATAATTATGGACTGGAATTGGTTTGAAGTTGCTATTCGATGAATATAACTACTAAGATAAATTTAAAGATGTTATTTAGTTAGAATATTTATGACATCTTTACTAAATTGCGACAAATTTGTTTTTCCCTCGAGAACGTTTTATTACCTTAGAAGGAGTAGTTAAATATTAGGTGTTTCTTTATTGCCTTGCTTTATAAATATTTAGATGTGTCCGATTCCAGACGTTGTTAGAAAAAAAAGAAATAATTGAAGCTTAAATAACTTTTACAGTCAGTGCCTCTTGTATTTCATTCACCTTATATTTTTATATTGTGGTGTTTTGAAATTTTGATGATTGGAAATGGTGTTTGATTCATTGAGTTCAATTGCATATCTTTGTTGTGAACATTTGTGTTTTTTTTTTCAGAACCATGACCATGACCCATACACGTCAGATGGTAACTTTGTGGCTTCCGTTTAGGAAATTCCGAAACATGCCGTTGAAATGTATCCAAATGTTCCCACCAAAGTATACGAATGTTTCGCTCTTTGTATGTGTATGTGCATAGGTTAGTCCCCACAACCTATGCTCCAGAAATAAAGGAAATTTTCCGACTAGAAATCCTTAAACGAATATCCCAGTTTTACCAAGACCGCATCGATCACATCATTTGTTCGCATAAATGAGTCTTTTTGTGTGTTTAAATTTCAGATATGGACGATACATTGCCTTTTGTCATTTTTCTATATTAGTCCTGTCTTTGATATGTAAAGATTCTCAGGATTGCTCCGGCTTAAATAATTCTTTGAAACATTGATATATGAATTTTACATTGTGTACCATATTTCCAAATTATTCATAACAGCATTATTTGTTTTATTATTCTAAACATCCGCGCAAAAAAATAAAATACATTTCTAGACAAACGAAAAACAAATTTCCCCCTTTTTTATGTGTTATATAATTGATTTAAAACGATGAGGAATAAGAAATGGAATAACAATCGACCTTAACAGACAGTTCTTATTGATTACAAGACGTTCAAATAAAACTCAGTAAACGATCCGCCATCTAATTAGATTAACATAAAGGCGGGACAATATCTTCTACTTATTTCCGCGCTATTATCGTATTAGCCAATCACATTACACCTTTTTACCATCAAGGGAACAACTCATTACCACACTAATACCGTGCTAACCAATCAAATTACATCTTATAAACATCTTGGGGGATGAATTCTTTCGTTTTCTTGTTGACATATTCTAAGTGGTCCCATGTTGAATTCTGAGAAAAACAAGAAAATCTTTCTAATTATCTTAACATTAATCTTATAATATCATTTGCTTATTTCTTAGCATAATTTTTATTTTAAACTTTAGAAGGATGTGTAACTTTACCTGTTTTAGAGAGCTTTTCGTTGTGTTTTTATAGTGAAGTACCTCGTATTATCTTGTTAAATAAAAATCGAAATCGCAGTCTTTGCTCAATCCAATGTTTATATTTAAAATGGATACTGTATTAATTACACTCAGGACATCAAAATTTATTCTTACTGGAACAGTTCGTACTGGCCCTTGAAAATCTGTTATTTGTGGATCATTTTCTTTTACCATGGATGACGACAATAACGAAATCCCTAAGGACACGTCAACGGACAGTGTCAAAAAGGATCTAAAATTTAGCATCAGGAATATTCTGGGAGATACAGCTTCTTCTACTTCCGGAACTAAAGATAAGGGCATAGACTGTAGTGAGGAAAAAAATGTGGGAGATGATCGCGTGGCTTCACCACAGAGAACATTTGTTCCTTTTATTCCCTTAAATTATGTGCCATTTGTGAACAATTCAGAATCTTCGGCTGTTATACGTGTTCCTACACACAGACCCCATCCGATTTTACCGATATGGGGAAATTATGGTGTACCCTGGCTTGATGTTCGACGGGATAGATTCGGTGGTGAGTATATGTTCTTCAAAAAGGAGTTGCATGTCATCATGCATTGGGAACACCAACATAATATGTTATAATTGCACCGGTCCGATACGTTTGAACTTCCTGTGTTTCCTCATAAAGTTGAGCCGATTTTACCGTTGAAAAAGTTGTTGAGATTATATTTTAGTTTAAATTCATGAGCGATAGTTAATTTTTTTCTGGTATTTTAGGACTTATGGACATCGAATTGGCAATATGAATGTTCAAAATAAGATCTATTATTGTCAAAGGTACACATACAAAGGATAGAAAAACCTCTCGTGAATCATTTAAAGGCACTACAAATAGTCTTTAATATTTGAGAACACCATTGTAGTTCAGTTTCACAGGGCATTGATTTAGTAATTATAAACTTTTATTTTTTAGCAGTATTAATAAAATACAACGAAAATATTTAAACTGTTAAAAAATGCTCTATAATCAAATGTAAAGCGATATAGAAACAGAACCTGAAACATGTCGTTACATGAGTTTAATGGGCGATATATTACAATATGGAGAAACAGCAAATAAGCATAGCGATTTAGCGGCTCGATTAGTCATTTCTAAGAAAGAAAACACCCGTATTGATTTGCTATTTGAATCAGTAATCATAATTCTTCAGAAATGTTAATGACAAATATTCATTGTAATGCATTCTTAATAGATCAACTTTCTAAACTAAAGAATATTTTCAAAAAAAATAAAAAAAAATCATTGCTACCTTTCGGATACATACATTTTTGTCCTGCACGTTTTTGAGTCATATAGTAATTTTATATATTTTATATTGATATATTTTATTTCAAACAAAACAGAAGAATTCAGAGGGGCACACAAGCTTTCCTCCAAAAAATATTTCTTATCTTAAATAAGAAATAAATTCTGTCTATATGAAAATTAGAGTTCACATCTGATTCCACCTGATATGTTTGTTTCCCCCTTCAGATCCTACTATTCTTAGCTTCACCATTTCCACTCAAAACATTGTTTGGTTTGTTTTATTTTTTATGAAATACTATAAAGTTATTATCATATTAAAAATGTAGATGAGCGTCTTTAAACTATTCACGTTTGTCATTCTAGTTGTTAGAAGAGTTGGTCATCCTTATCAAAACAGAACACCACCGAAAAGGAAGAAACCACGAACTTCATTTTCCAGGCTACAAATTATGGAACTTGAGAAAAGATTCCACCGCCAAAAATATTTGGCATCGGCAGAACGTTCCAGTCTAGCCAAAACATTGAAAATGACAGATGCTCAAGTAAAAACTTGGTTTCAAAACAGACGAACCAAATGGAGGTAGGTCAAAATGTAAATTTCGTAAATTCAAATTTTTATATCAGCTTTGACCATGTTTTGTTGGAAATTGGCTATGTAAAACAATGAAACCCATGTGTAAAGCGACGGAAGGAGCCATAAATAAAATACAAAGGGAGGCTACCTCTGTGCAAAAAATGTTTTTCGCGACGTTACGTGGAGAGTATGGAATAGATAATTAAATGGCTCCAACGAAAATACAAACATTACTATCGATTTATAATGATTTGTAAATACGTATTATCATGAAAACCTTGTGACCAAAATTCAGATTGCATCAACTCTTGATCAGGCGACAAAGTTTGTTTTGAAGTTTTTTTTCCCGCAAATAAATTGAAAAGAAGGAGGCCGGCGACTTTGTTTTGATAAAGAAGAAAGTTTCAATTTCTAAATTTGACGAAATCATGGCAAGTGGAAAGAGTCCTAAAAATATATATTTTACACATTTGTAAATTTAACCTCAATTTACCACTACTGTAGAAAATGCAAATAAAAAATAATTATTACTGAACTTGGGCTGATACGTAGTTTCTTTCTATACATGATGGCAACATTTATATTTAGTGACTTGCTCCCGTGAAAATTTAACAGGCTAAATCATGTAAATTTATTCATATTTATTATAGGGAAATTGCATCATTATGTAATTTAATTACAGCCCAAGAAGTCGCACGTATATGCTGTTCGCATATCGTCTTAGGAGTGAAATGTGAATGCTTAAAATCCATGCACCTATTCTAAAATTTATCTGAGAGGAATTAAATTTGCATCCAGAGGATTCCTTATTATCTACAACTTTATCAAATATTATTTTTCAGGCGTCAAACTGCAGAAGAGCGTGAAGCAGAAAGACAAGCAGCTAATAGATTAATGATAAGTCTTCAGTCTGAATCTTCCAATACTATCTATGATATCAGAGACCCATTGTGTATGAATAACACCTCATTACATGCTTTACGAAATCTTCAGCCTTGGGTTGAGGATGCTAGTCGTACCTCAACCTAAATCTTTAACGAGAATGGAACCACAAAGTTCTTATCGACATGTGCATAGGCGAAATTTAGTTGTACGTTGGACATTTGGAATCAACGAAATCCTGCTCTTGTCGAAACTATTTTTGTTATCTTCTACTACTCAAATTGATGTTACAGTCGTAATGGAATGTATAATAGTTCTAATGGTGTAAAGATAACGTAATATGGGTATTACATTAAAAAATATGCTCGAAATATATTTAAATCTGATCTATAATACCCTACGTTTTTTATTTGAATTTTCTCTCAGAGCATAGAACATAGTAAAAGCTTTTATTTTTTTGAAAAGATTACTGTAAGATTTATTGATGTGTATGTTATTTTGTTTAATGACATTACAGTGTGCTTCTCTATTTAAACTTGTACGAAATATTCAAATAAAACCCTTTTTAATCAAACTGGACATAAACATGGATTATCTAGCTTTTAATTCATTGGAATAAGCTGCCATTTTTAAAAAGTTTAACGAAAAATTACTCACCATTAAAACAAAAATCAAAATATCCAATCGGAATCTAAAATGTGAAATATCACGTTTTTGAATTTTTCACAAGATTGTTATTCTGGCTTTCAGACCAAAGCTTTCACTGCGTGGCAACTCCTCACATAAGGGGAGACAATTTGCTACATTAATGAAAGGGACAGAATTTTATTTTGCATGTTAAATTTGCTAACACTTGCTAAACGATCAGTGGGAAATAACTTTGATTGTCGTCACTAACACCAGATGACATGCTCCCCTTGAAAAAACTTCTCTGCAAGTTTATCCAATGCACCAGTTTGCCGAGTACATGGTTGAGTGGAAGTTTGCATAAAGATGTTACAATTTCTGGTCTTTTCTTTTTAATAGTTCTCGCGGCAAAACAAAACAGACAACCTTACGCTTTGTTAAAGGTTACATGTGCAAAATCTTATTCCCCGATCTGTTTTTTTGTACTTAATGTGAATAAAATATTGCTTAATAAATTTTCTTTTTAAATTGATGTATCAAGGGACATAACTCTATAACTGTAGCTTAGACGAAGACAATGATTCGTTGAGTAGTGAAAACCTCAATGGTAAGTTACAAATTTACTGTTATTTCAATAATAATTATCAAGAATAAACAATAGCAAATAAAGTTATATATTCACTCATTTAAATCGTCTGTTTTGTTTTAAGTACAGTTTGAAGTTGCTCAAAATATTTCGTTTAAATATGCATAAAGGCAGATCGCATATGCATGACCATGTAAGAATGTTTCAATAGCTATACTTAAAAATCGACAATAAAACAGAAACAATAAACAGGCTTAAGTTCAAAACCGAAGATGTCCTCGTAGAACAAGCTGGAGGAGCAAGTTTATCTATAATATACAGCATGACTTTCTTTGATTGAGACTGGGGACAACTTGATAATACGGTATCTTTTTCTAAACAGGTTTTGAATATTTCCGTATATCTGAAGTAAAAAATAAACGGTAATTGATAACAAATTATATTTTATATATAATACTTGTATATATGAACATGACAAATAAAGTAATTGTATGTGCAAAGTATAGGTTGAAGAATCGAGAAAGTCTATAAACGAAGTTCCGAATAGCTTGACCATTGTGAAGATTGGGAAATATATGGAAAATACTCACCCGCAGTAAACAGTCTTTTGATCTGAGAATGGAGTATAAGTCTCTGGTTGAGTCAAACCTTTCCGTTCAATATTAGTACGAGCACAGGAATTGGAATTATACGTACACGTTACATTAAAACCTACAAGGTTAAAAAGTTTATAGTGAGAAGATATCAAGTAGTATCAACAGTATCTTTTACAATATACAATGTGACGTATAGACTGAAAAAGAACTCTCAATGGCTAGAATGTCCCAGGCTAATCAGAACAACAGGATATATACGGATTCAGATGAAAACAAACAAATCACACACAAAAGCAAACAATATTCTCGTATGCAAATTGCAATAAAAGTCTCATTGTAAATGTGACTATAACTGGAGCTGCTCATCACAACAAAAATTCAATGATTTGATCGGGGTTGGATTACCTTAATGCTGTTTGACAAGAAATATTACATCTAACACCAGATTGTTACGAATAAAGTAATTGGTTATTATGTATAAAACTAGTAATATGTTTTGAATAGTGTCTAGATAATCAAAATTTGTATAGTTATTTATTACATCAATTTGACCAGAAGGTCATATTCAGACTAATAAAGTTGGTAAAAACCATGTCATTCAAAGTGCAATGTAAACTTTATGCATATATGATAAATTTTACGAGTTTATCAATTAAGTTAATTAAAAATTCCCTTGACTTACCATCTTTTCTACGACAGACCTCATCAATAGCCTGTTTATAAGATTCACCAGTAGCAAGCAGAGTTTGAAATTTACCACCTGCACATGTTCTATAAGCTGTTACTATACAACTTAAAAGACTCTTAAAATTCGCATTGTTCTCTGAGCTGAAATTGATTTGTATCACATTCTTATATACTCAATATCACGCCTATAATGGAATAGCAGAGGTATGGGATGGAAACTGGATTGCACTATAGGGCATGTTGCTTGGAGAGTAGCCATAGTCGATTATTGTTCCAAACAAGCGACTAGACGATTTCTCCTAAAAAAAAAAAGCCTATATAACTGACAGTCAGAAACTGCTCGGATTGGAGGAGAATGCAACATAATTTACCTGCAGTAAACAGATGGTTCAATGGAACTAAAAAATTGTTGTACAGTTCTAGCATCTTGTCGTGGTATACCGATTACGGAATAATTTGTGACACAGTTATTGATCGTATCATTAAAGTTTTTACATGAACTGGTATCAAGCTTAACAAACTGACCGTTTACCAGTATGCCTTTAAAACAAGTATTGGTACAAAAAATTTCATTGCGAACAGTAAGTCTTGGGTTACAAAGAATTTGACTTAAAGGTGAAATTAACTTGGTTCAATAATATGATAATCATATGAGGTCTAATGATATGGAAAGCCGAACCGCGCTATGCGATCTTCAGACAACTTACTGATCCTCGTCCCTATTGATGTTAGTCGGAGTTTCACGCTATGAAACCTTCAGACAACTGACCTATTTTCAACCTGCGTCCCTGCTGTTGTTACGCAAGTCACGTTATGTGATCTTTAGACAACTGACCAATTTCCAGCCTTCGTCCCTACTGATTACTTCAATAGGGACACAGACAGAAAATAGGTCAAATCAGTATGGACGTAGACTGAAAATAGATCTGTTATCTGAAGATCCCATAGCGTGAAACTCCGAGTAACAACATTATGTTTTTTTTTAGGTTCTGTTTAAATATTTCTATCCCGATATACAGTATATATATATATACAGAAGTGACTATTTAAGTGCGCTGTAGTTATCTATTCAATGAGGTTCTAGATATATCCCTCATATACTTTTAAATATGCAAGATGCCAATTGGGTCAAATATATACTTTTCAAACTTCATTACTACGACTTTTCATCATAAACCCCCCTATTTCGAGATTTTGGGGAGCAATATGCAAATTCAAATAAAAGCAGAAGTTATGAAATTTTGAAAATATGTAACTTAGAGAATTTTACGAATTTTATACTCAACAAGCAATGATGTTTTAACTACTTCTATTTTACATCAAATTGATCAAAGATTTAATAAAAATATTAACTAACAAAATGTGATATTTACCTAAACAGCTAACAGTGAGGATTTGTAGAAACATTTCAGAGTTATGTGAGGTTGTAGTCAATATGAAATCTGCAACCACTACTGACTTGCCCAGGGCTCTCATACCCTCATAGTCTCGGTTATAACAAACATACGATTGTTATCTTTAGGTTTAAAGTCAATGCAATTCAACAGAATGAATTAGAGTGAATCGTTTAAAATAAGTTGTCTATGCTTCGGTCCATATCAGAAAAGAATGTTTTGTATTACCATAACGTAATGTAACTGCACATGGATATCGGGTTTCGTTTTGCGGTTTAGATCGGTAGTATTTTGGTTTTTTTATACTCTTTTATGTAGTATATGTACGGCAATATGAACAGATTTATGAGATTTTTTAGACTTTCTCATTCTACAGAAGAAACATCTTTAGGAAAGTATAAAACATGCCCGGATTTGACAGTGTATTTCAAAATACATTATGGACTCACTCCACTAATTCATTTGCCATCTCTTCCCATGTTAAAACACGAAATTCAACCTTCTATAACTTTTTCCAGAAATCTCGTTGAAAGCTTTCCAATATGTCGAATGAAAGCCTGACCAATTCTCAATGTCTCCTAAAAAATTCATTATATGATGACCATGAAAATTTTGAGCTACTAAAATTGAAAGTAGACTACTACCGGTTATACTCATCCGCTAGAGTTTGGCACTTCACAAAACGACTATTTTTAGAATTAGCCTTCCGCCTTTAAGTCTCTCATCATCTCACCAAATCTGAAAGATAATGCAATTTCAGACATCAAATTCCAAATCTAGACCAAATTTTACCCAAAAATAGGCAGGCAAAAACCCCAAAAGGGAGAGAGAAAGAAGATTTCTAAAAATAGCCTGGACTACATTTAGTGGAGTGAGTCCTATATCATTGATATATTTATATATAAACAGTACTGGCCAAAATAATAGGAAATAGTAGGAAATTGACACACAAGAGCAGATAAAATATATTTTCATTTGAATGAAGTTTTGCATACTTGTTAAGACAACGTATAAAATGAAATGAATGGAGTTTTACGCCCTACTTTTCTGCACCATTTGGGCTAATGAGGAGTCATGTGGGGTGCTATGGGGGAAATTTTGCTAGGACAGTGGCAGTAGCCCGCTCTTTTTCGATTTCTAAAGACAATTTTTAAAGATAAAACAGTTAGTTTATTACATGAGGATCTTCCATGGCAGAGGTACATTTCTGTGTGCCAACAAACATTCTGGTATGTGAATAACAGAATTTTGTATTTAAGTCCGATGTTTGAAATACTATAATTGCTATTAATTTGTCCAGTACTGTATATAAAGTTTTAATGTGGCTACATATATTATTATTACGAAGAACTTTAGTAGGTTTCACATCTGACTCCACAAACAGAACTATAAACTTTACCTATATATGTCAATTGTGTACTATCATCTGTAAAATGGGTAGAGACTTGAACCGATTTGTAAACTGTATAAATATATTTGCTATTTCTTCAAGATCCAGTTCCATCCCGATCAACAGAGAAATTCTACCTATCGGAGATCTGCGACTATACGGAGCTAGGCAAGATGCGAAGTTTCGTATGATCCAGTTCAAGTTATATTCTCTGTCAATTTTTTATTCCCTTTTTGAATGGCTTTCTGTTGACGGAACGAGGATGTTTTTCACTTATATAGAACACACCCGAGACCATCGACCAAGGAATACGTGTTTTGATTGGTACTAGATTACCCAAATGATTGTAAGCTATTAGTGCATCAGTACGAAACGTAAGGTACCAAGAAGTCACATCTGTGTCCGCATTAAGCCGTAAGCTAATAGTGCGTGCGAATCAGAGGTTCCATGTCAAACACGTACGAATTACCCGTGTCCATACTTGACCTTCGACTAATAGTGCCAGAACGCACTAATGTTTGCACTAATGCATTGGCCTTTCGGCTGCACATGTTGGAAAAAAATTACACGGCGGCAAGCCCTCATATTTCTATCGAACCTATACTGGCAGCATCTTGGCCACAGTAAAAAGAAATAAATTGAAATAATCGTTTTAATTAAATTTTAACAACAAAAGAAAACATAATAATAGGGGATAAAAAAAAACATGAAAAAGCTTAAATCTAATTGAACCCATCTCAATCAAAGAAGACTTTACTTACAAAACAATTGTCAAAAATATTCACTCATATAGTTAGAAATATCATATTATCAATCATTATAGTTTAAATAATGACTTCATTCATACGATTTCATCAGTATGAGTTTTTGATTCTTTTTAAGATTTGATTACAAATCGGCTACAACTGAATTAAAAAAAAATAAGATACGTAGAAATTGTCTTCTAAAGATAATCATACATACAACTTTGAAATTATACATTGTCCATCATTATGTTTCAAATAATGACTTCATTCGTACGATTTCTGTAGTAATGTTTTGGTTTCAATTCAGATTAGGTGGAACAGAAATTTTTAAAGAGAAATAAATAATGAAACTAACAATAAAACAGAAGAAATTACAAAAGACGTGGCATCACATGCTGGTGGAAGTATTTCTTCGACAATTTCCATGAAAATTCCCTTCGTTTTATCTTTACCACATTTCATCAGTTTGTCGTTGCTTGTAATGCATTCACCAATATATTTCACTGCCCTAATAAGACAATTATAAAAATGAAACGTACAGAAAATAAATATAAAAGACTAGTTAAATGCTATATATTAATAGTAATACGCCCTCATGTTGAGCGTATAGTGGCGTCACCCATATCCGTCTGTCGGCCCGTTCGTCCACAATTGACAAAACTTAGTGGGTAAGTGAGAGAATTGCCAGACTAAAATGAATCTAATTGAAAATTAGAAATATCGAAAAATATCTAAAGTGTGTGATGGTCCTTGAAAACATTTTGACGAAACTTGGTGAAATTATGTTTATTGTCTTCCATGGATGATGATATATTGAAAAATATATTTTATGATTCATTGTCCTTATTCTTCAAAACCATTCAAATGTTAGCTTGGAATAACTCTAGAACTATTGATGAATTTTAATAAAAAAAAACGACCCAATCAATCAACCTTTGAATCGTGATGAATCCTTAGCCTGTAAGAAGGTGCATTCTTGACAGTTTTGAATGAAACTTGTTGACTGTCCCTGTTCTTCGAAAAGCCCTTGATTTCTAGCTTGTAAACACTTTAGAGGACAAAATTCGTGACAGATTTGGACAAGTGACTTAAGAAAGAGACCTATCGAAAACCAATAAAAATCCACACAAACAAGACAATTCCGTAAATCAAAATATCGTCCAGTATATGGCGAAATCGAAAGTAAAAGTTGTATAGTAGTGGACTCCTCCAAAGAAAAGTACCATCAGGTGTTTCGAAAAGAGTAAGCATGGACTGCTTTTCTCGAGACACCCGTTACTTCAATTTAGGAAGTGCATGACTTTTAGACTTACCCACAATAATATTCCTTGTTCTTATCAAATCCATCAGTCATGGTTGGGATAGTTCGATTGGCCGGAGCTTTATCGCTTGCACATGAACCAAGCTCACTTATACAGCTGACATCAAAATCTAGAATAAAAGAATACACATTGAAGTATCAGAACCATAGATCAGAAATATAATTATACAAAACTAATGACGATGTCTGTATTTTTATCAATGAATATAATTCGTAGAATCCGACTTAATTGTCAATTGCTAACTTATCTTAACAATCCTTAAAAAATAACCTACCTGCATAGTTATTACAGTAATATTCTACGCCGTCTTTTATTCCATCAGCCGACGCAACAAACTTATGAAAGTCATTTTTGGCGCAAGCAATGTAAGCTTCCTGTATACATTTAGCAAGCTTCATGAAATTCTCCTTGTTTGTAGCACTGAAAGTAATACATTAAAAAAGTTTACTTTACAATGTTGAATTTAACATGTGATCACGATGTGGCCGGCGATGTCCTCATGTTAATGAAGTATTGGGACTGAAGTAGTACTCTTCCATAGCGAGATGTAGATCCACTAAGCAATTGTCTAGTAACTTGCAAGTGTTCATTTTAGGCCATGTCAACTAATTAACATTCAGGCCGTAAATATTTGTCTATTCTTTTACACCAACCTCTTGTTCATGATTTTGAGTGTAATAACAATGAAAATTCTTAGGAAATTAAAAATTACATTCTTACTTGCAATAAACATTTCCTGGTAAGCTATAGAATCCTAAAACACTTCCCCAAGTTAAAGACATGCCTCCAGTAATTGAGTAATCAGCATTGCATTTATCTGCAGCTGCGGTGTAACTGGTACATGACTGAACATCAATTTGTGCATGAACGAAGACAGCTGAAAATATTTTCAGAATATATGAAGCTGGCCAAGATAATACCAGTTCAATCAGTAATTACTTCAAATTTACATAATGAATCTCAAAATGTAAACGTCCAACCAACCATACAATTTGTCACACTAATAATGTTACCTTTTTTAAGTCCAAAAAGCATAGCCAATGCGGGATGATCACTAAAATGAACCAAAATATTTTGGATGAACTATATACCGCAAAGGGGCCCTATATCCATTGCCGTGAATAAATATACGAAATATGATGTACTGTGCGGAATAATTGACAAAATTAGTTCGTTTTCTACTGTATCTATGAGCTCGCAACGTGCACCGAACCGTACATCATGCGTACATCTATTCGTACCTTTATTTCCCCTTAGCATTAGTATTGTATCAAGTTAATATTATTCCCAATCCATTTACTAACAGATTACTATTGATATAAAATATCAATATATAACAGATTACTCTTAATTTGGGGGTGGAAGGTAATATTAAAAAAAAGTAAATTCAAAGAAAAAATAAAAGGTATGAAAAATTGTAAATATTTAACGTGGAGAATTTTACGAATTTATACCCAGAAAGCAAATATGTTAATTTTACAACTGCTTCCTTTTTACATTTTACAAGAAAAAGATCAAAGAATAGCCAATATTATTTTTTTTAAAATGTAATATTTACCTAAACAGCTTACAGCAAGGATTTGTAAAATCATTTTCAGAGTTATGTGAGCTTGTAGTCAATATGAAATCTGCAACCACGACTGACAGCTAGTAACTTGTCTAGGCGTCTTATAGCTGGTAACAATCTTATACAGTAAAAACTATTTTTAGTATTCAAAGCAATTCAAATGAATGCAACATTGTGAATCCCTTGGAGACGAGTTGTATATTTGGGTTTATTGTGTCATTCAGGGCGCCTTTTTTTTTATTTATATATTCTTCAATATGATATGTGTATAGCAAGAGGGTAAGAATTGTGAGAAGTTAAGGCTTTTGATATATCTACAGAGGATAAAGCCCGACAAATCTGACCCTACCCGTCCTCGGACATGATATACGGATGGAATATCGGCACATTTGGAATTGCAAATTTTTGGAAATTGTCCCCATGTTAAAGCCAGATTTCGCATGAATTTAAGTATCTATACACAGTTTAACCATTATTGAGTCTATCACGACACATTCCACAATGTCAGCCACATGGTACAGTACCATAAAACATTTTTAAGGAAATTCAGTTGCAAGTCAAAAAAATGGTACATTTATGGTGATGTTTTGGCACAATTGTGATTACTACACTTTGTACGGTCTATAACAGACACAATTGTAGTAGAAAAGTAAACCAGAAAATCCTCAATATCTCAAACATAAGTGTTAGAGTGATTTTGTAAATATTTTATCAACTTCAAATTTTATTGTTATTCAAATTTTAGCTAAATTTATATATTTTGCACTTAAACTAAGAGCAACTCAACCCTCCTAATTTAAGAAATAATTTTGTAAATATAAGTACAAATGAATTTATTCTATTTCTCTACTGTTTGTTAATATATCAAACTGTAAATAGGATTGTTACATTCTTTACATCTATCATCATATATATCACAGAAAGCTATGTAAATTATATTGAATATATCGTGTATATTTATTTCATAATTATTATTATGTGTGTTCTATGGGCCGTTGCCTTGAAACAAATAAACTTATTATTTACTATTATTTATTAAATCTTCAAAGAAATTACTACATTCATTAAAAATTCTGGATCTGTTTTTCTATTAAGATGTTTGAAACACATGTACATATATTAATATAGTCAGCTATTAAGTCGTTGATCTTCGGAAGTCCATTAGAGTAAGACGTAAAACCCATTTCAATTTCATTTCAGATCGATCATGTCAGAATCTGCAAGAAATAAACAAACTAAGTAATATCCATCCAAAACGACATATTGGCGAAACATTGGTAGCAGTTAATGAACTTTTCACACATCGATGGATATCTATCAAAAGTGAATATTTCGTGGTGAAAAGCGGTAAAGTATGATTGGTAAAAAAAATGGCCAGCGTGTCCCTTTAAATGTATAAAAAGAAAGATTATGTTTTACAATTGTAATAATGGGTTCCAAAGTAAAGAAGCTGTATATTGAAATGTTCTCATCATAACTGTTTTATCGTTGGCAAAAGTGAAGACAGTCCATAAAAATGAAAATTTATTCATGAAAAATTTTGGGGGATTTTTTTCACGTTTGCCATAGTCCTAGTACATTTTCTAGTCGCCGTAAAATCGCAAATGGTCCGAAGTGACGGGGATATTACAGTTATTACAATACTTGAAGAGAAAAGGAAATTATCAAAGATATTGTTTATTTTATGTGTAGTTTCAACACACTCAGGCATGCAACTAAAGATTTCTTCAAAAAACGTGACGAAAAATAATTAAATTATTAAAAATAGCTACAAAACTTCTACTGAAAGGTTTGATTTATTTCTGACTACGGTTGACTGTAGTTGGAAACATAAAGGCGAAAGGAATATTTTATATTTATATTACAAAAGTCCTTTGTGTCTAAGGTAATTTTGCGTCGTCAATATTTATGGCACTTTGATCATTTCTTTGGCTATGAGTCAACTTTTTTTTCATTATTCAGGCGTATTATAGTTTTTGTGAACGGCGAGATTATGTCTCAGAGAACGAAGGTCAAATGAAAGAAAAATATTATTGAATCACCATAGTAGCGAAATAAATATTCTATTGATGTGCCCTCATAATATTAATTTGATTCTAATACCAATATCATCCAGAATATGTACACCCTTAGCAATTTATATAGGCTATTGTAATCCCTTACTAACTAATGCGTTCTTAATAACATAGATATACACCCCACAGCAACAAGTATGTGTTAAGTAATTATTTCGTTATTAATGGTTAGTAATACTGGGTGTACAATATGTTCCCGACGGTTACAACAATCTAGTTAGAAAGCCTTAACTCAGGCTGAAATCGGGAAAAAGTAAAAAATTCCATGGCGTGCTTCAGCTCGGGCCAACATGGATACTGAGGCCATCTGGACCATCAAGTGTAAACGCAGTATAATGTACATAACTGACCTTCTTTGCACTTATACCTTATAATTATATAGCCCCCAATAGCCCCTATTATATCACTGATTGGATTGTGCGTCAGTGATTACAGCCAATAAGAGCCCTGGACAAAAAGTTGCCTGTGTTTTCACAGACTTTCTACCGTTGGTTCTGATTGGTTGTATTCGCTAGCGTACAATACAATCAAATCGCTTCATTTATAACTGGCAGGATCTTTTGTTATGTAAGTGATAATCTCCTCAAGCGTTTAGATAGACGTACAGATCGGCAAACTGGATTTTAACTTTCACCTTGCAATTTTGACAATATACCTCATCATGCAATGAGATAAGATAAATCTTAATTACCCTATAGGGAACTCTTGTGTAATACAAGGCTGACAAACAAAGGGAACTAACAAATTTTAAGGCAAAACCACATTCTATTTATCAACACATCATTTTCAATGAATTAATTTTGTAATCACATGATTATAGAACACATGACTGTATGTGTCGTACATTACTGAAGAGATAAACTCGAATTTGTGAACAAAATAACATTAATATTAACAAAATTATTGTAAATATTCAGGTTTCGACAATGATTTGTACTGATAATACACCATTTATACTCTTATGTATATAAAAACCTTATCAGGATTTTGACCATATTATGTACTTTATAACCGAACCAATCATATGCAAATAGAGCATTCAAATAATGTTCTAATAATCGTGACAGAAGTTATAAATGCGGACAAAAAAAACATGAATAAACTCTTGGTGTTTTATTATTATTTATTAATTGCACTTGTAAATACTTTAAGGGGCATTCCGTTTTTTTTTTTTTTGTAATTCGAAATCTTATACCAAAATATAGAGAAACGTCACTTGACGTATCTCAAGTTATTAACTAAAACAATCCAGCCGTTTATTTCTAACACCGAAATTATTTAAAAGTTTACGTTAACGTTTTAATTTCGTTGTGCTTTTTGGTAAGTAAAATATACGCCTAATTCTAGAGAATTATGTCTTCTTATAAAAATATTGATTAACAATTAGTACGCTCAGTTTTAATTGGTCGAAACAATATTTTGCTCAAATTTGTGAAAACTATAAACCAAAATCTACAGAATTGTGCCCTGTGACGTATCTGAAAATATTTGTAAACGACAAAAATATTTAAAAACATTACGCAAGGTTTTAAAGTTTGTTCTGCTTTTTGGAAGCTGTTGGAAAACTAGTGTACGGATTTGACTAAAATAAAGGCCTAATTGTTGAAAAATATGTCTCCTGTGTATTCGAAAAGTTTCAACTCATGATATCAAGCCATTATAAATCAACACTTTTAAAACAAAGTTAATTTGAAGATACAAAAGAAGATACATAGATATAAATAGCTAGCATACTTAAGAAATATTTTAAAGTATTATTTATGACGTTTTTGATAAACTTTTTACAAAAAAAAGCGGAATTCCCCCTAACCAATTTAGTTTTATCAATTAGATGCAGAGATGTACAGAGCATTTATACTAAGTTTGTGGTGTTTTTTGTTGTTGTAATATTTGAATATATTTCAAGCTCTGTCGGGTACAATTTCTTAAAACGGTTTCGCTCTATAAACAGAAATGAATACTATCAAAACGATAATGTCTATTGAAACATATCTGAAATGTTAACAAAGTGTCTTAATGTATTCAGATTTCTTGTAAATAAAGTAAGAAGACTCCTTTTACGCGTGACTAGAGATTATACAAAACACTAGTCACTCTTAAAAAATGTCTTCTTACTTCTTAGCTCAGTTAAATTTCTGAGACTAAAGTGTGACTGGTCAAAAAATGGACTTCGTGCCTCTTTAAGTGTGAAAGTATGCCATAATGAAAAGTGGTATTTGTTTCCTAGAAGAGTAAGCATACCTTTCCTGGTGAAAATTTGACTAGCTCGAAATGTTCATGGTCATCATATATTGAATTATTTTTAGGAGACATTAAGGATTGGTCAGGCTTTCATTCCACATTTTCGAACGCTTTCAACGAGATTTCTGGAAAAAGTTGCAGAAGGTTGTATTTTGTGTTTTAACATGGGAAGAGATGGCAAATGAATTAATGGAGTGAGTCCTAATGATCAATGTTTCGAGTTTCCGCTACAATATTTTAAACTAAATTGATGGTGAAGGTTAATTAAAAGGGAATAATTCTGATTCACACAACCTCTTTATATAATAAATTCGTAAATATTTTGAAGTAAAGATTTTTCCATGTAGTTTCTGTTGCAATGTATTAATAGCAGCAGCCAGGACGATGTCTATCCATAATAGTGACAATAATTATATAATATTTTACTAATTTATTGCATGGGAAATCAAAATCGTATACCAGGTTACTCTCATGGCCTGAATATTCAGAGCGCGGTTCGTGGTCTGTGGGACGGGAACGCGGTGTGTCTATTTTTTTCTTCATAGGATCAAAACAGGACGCAAACCACACGCAGCATTGGTAGAAGCTAATGACCTTTTCAGATGAGAAAGTGTATCAATCATAAGTGAGTATTTCATAATGAAAAGTTCAAGGGACGTAACTGATGAAAATATATTTATTTAATTTCAATAGTTCCAATAGAAAACTATTCACTTTCAGGAGACACCAGACTTTCTTCCCCGATAGAATAAATTAACAAACAAAAATTATTATTTCATTGACCATGGAACGAGTTCTCTGTCAAGCTTTTTCACATCAAACCATACTTGATTTTGAAGGCGTCGATTTGTCGTGATAAATAGTTTAGAACCTACAATGAAAAATATCAGATTGTTTAAGAAATGAAATGAAATGAATGGAGTACATGTCATACTTTTCTGCACCATGTTGGCTAATAAAGACTGGCAACGCCATGCAGAGTGCAATGAGGGAAATTTTGCCAGGGCAGCGGCATTAGCCTTTTTTGCGATTTCCAACTGTCGAGGTATCTTTAACGTCCACGGCCTATAGCACACGGGGCCATCCGAACTACTAGAAGATTATGTAAGAGGGGAGGTAAATTCATATAATGACACTATTCGACCAAACTGAAAACGCCGTTCTATTATATTGTCATTAGAAAGAAATCAGAAATAACATCAGATTTGCTTCATAAATAAATTTCTTAAACTAGTCCATGATATTGTACCATTGGGTCTATTGAAGCAAGTTCCTTAGAAGAAAAATTTAAAACAATTTCAATTTTATGAGCTATCACATTGTCCAAAAATGATTGGAATCCCTCGACCACATATGGTACTTAAAACAATTCTACATCATGCCGGTTATAACGACAAAAAGTCAAGTTATAACATTTAAAAATTCAGAAAAGATAAAACTTACCGTAAACTGGGGACAATCTGGCATATCATCTTGCACCCATCCATTAAGATCTCTGTACACTTGACTAGGTCTGTCAGTGTCATGTAGAGCTTCGCATAAGTCACACCAAAATTTTCTCCTACCAGCGATTTCACCGTAAATGTCATATTTGTTTGTCCACGATAAATATTCATTATATTTGGCTTCATTTTTGGCCAGATAAAGTAAGTAATCGCTTAAGGATTTAGAACTTTGAAAATCATCAGCATTGATATATGAATGAGATGGTGCTACTTTTTCATAACCTTTTGAGCCTGTCACTATTGGAACTTGTCTTCTCCGCAACGCTTCCCAAAATTTCTCAGTAATATAATCTTTGCAGTTAGAATTTTCTATTGTGAAAAAGAATTTGTAATTTTCTAAAAAATCGCGACAAATTGTCTCCGGACATTGTTTTGTACCACACGCCCCATATAAATCCATGTCCGTGCCCAAATGACCTTTCATCTCCCTTATAAATAATTGTCTCCGTACGTAATCATGGCAGTTACTCGACATCCAAGCTGCCATTCGTGTATTTGTTAATCCATAATTTTTTGAAATATTGACACTCTTTGGTGCATTGTTGTCATTTAATTCAACAAGTCCACCATATTTTACTGGAATATCAGAATCCAGCCGATACCAAGCTGTCCAGTTGAACACTCCTGCTAACTGCTCATATCCTAGCAGCGTTCGGGGCGGTGGCTCAATATTGTGTATCACCCATCTTTGAAAGAAGTGGCGGTATGATGGAAGATCTAGACTAGACATCACATTAGATAGAGCACCAGAGTGAAATAAAATGGCATCACTTTCATCAAAATATTTTCTGTCGTTTGTGAATGTGCACGATTTAACTTTACAAGTTTGAAAATGGTTATCATGCATGTCTTCCCATGTTGTATCAGAAAAAAATCCAGTCCAAGCGAGAATTCTCTTTTTGGGCACATTTCTAACATGTTTTTCTTTAAAATAAGTAATAAATGATTCTTTTTTTTCTTTTCGACATTTCCCACCCAAACATGTAAGAGAATTGCTGACAGATAGTGGAAACATATACATGAATAAGATTGAAGTTGCCGTTAATACTAATAGAACCTTCAAACTATACCGACTAAACCGTCTACTGGCTTTGGTCAGAATGTTAGCCATAGTCACTTTGTACACTTGTAATATTACAAGACAACGAATCATACAGGATCACCTGGTCAGACAGTCCTGTTTAAGCATTTTCCTCGTCGCATGTTGGAAGTATCGATCGCCCTTCATCTCTTGTCGAAGTCACCACAGAAATCGCAGTTGGCTGTGCCTAGAAATATTAAACATCGGGTTTAAAGTCAAAACAAAATGGCATTGGTATACTATTTAATTAACGGCTAAGAAATCGAAATCAACATCAGTAAGTAATCTACCCTCCCTTCCCCAGAAAATGAAATATTGAACGAAAATTTGAATATGCTTAAATTTTGTGTCCTTTATGTTGCCAGACATATCAAGTTTAATTTATCTCTCCTCCATATATAGGTAAATTGTTCTTTTGGACGAATACCTGTATAGGTTTGTTATGCTATTAATAATATTTACAGCCAATTCCACACACTATCTCACTAGTCTGTGCATTTGTACATCATCACAGATAACGTAACAGGTTGTATCATATGAACAATTTAAAGATAACTTTGCTTAAAGGGATACTGCATCTATTGTATCTATTGGTATTAATCCTTTTGTTCAATAATTACTGCTTTTATTTTAAATTAAAGTTATCATTTTTTCATCTAATAAAAGTGCTCTAAAGTGATCATCTTTAAAGATATTTTTAAATTGTTCAATAATAAGGATTTTGCTTTTGAAAATCATTTATTAATTTATTTAATTTTAGAAGCGATTTCCATTTGTTTATCATTCGACTCAATTTTTTTGATATTAGCTTTTGAAAACCATATCATCTAAAAGTTGTTTTTATGACCAACTGGTGATAAGTTCTTCTCCTGAGTTGTGATTATCAATTGAATCCAGTCGTAAATCTCAACAAGTTCATGGTCCAACGTAGTTATGTTCTGGAAGATGTTTTTCGCCCGAATATTTAGCTCAAGGAAATCTCCTGATTGTGTCAATGTCTCGTGAGCCAAAATAAATTTTACGAGAGTGAATATATTAAACCTGTGTTCGCCCTCTGGGTAGGGACGTCAATTTGAGCCATTAATCCATGCTTTACCGATTTGTCTAATACACTGAATCGAAGATAAATGTAAAATATCTTATAACCTACTACTTATAATACAAACAACATACTGATTGAAATGCCAAAATCAAATGTTTATATTTACATGTAATGTTTATATTCACATGTAACTAAAGTCCATTCAAATAATTCACTTAGTATCTTCCACAAGTCTTAAATGATAAACCACCGTCATCTTTGATAAATACCATAAGTATATTTTCAACTGGAGGAGGTGCTCGATTTAACAAACGATAGTATTCACTAATTCATTCTGTACATAAATTAATGCTCAGTGATCACTTATTAAGATAAGAGAAGTCTAGTTGATGAAATTGCAATTGCAAATATTTCAAAGTCATTACACAAATTATAACAAAAATTAACAGCCCTATAAGATTCTTTTATCCTTCAAGTTCCTATCATGTTCACTATATAAAAACAATTTTAGCTAATTCAGTAGTATATCTCCAACTATAAATAGAAAAATAGAGAGTCTGGGAAGCTGAGAGTATGAAAAATACCATTGCTGGGAATATTTCGCTTTTGCTACTGATATCTTCCTTTACAATTTCATATAACGATATAATTGCATAATACTTACATACTCATGTGAATTTATTAGTTGTTTCGTATGGTATGCTGATGCCATATGCTCTCATTGATCTGGTGACAATGTGTATTGTAAATTAAGTATCGGGCTTTTATTTACTATAATTGTATATCACACATCGCTTGTGATGACGAATGTAACCATAGCAATAAGGTTGTTAAATATTGAACTCAACTAACCAGCATGGATCAGAAATTTAATTCGTTTGATATTTGGTAAAGAAAATGATGTGGATATTTTGACCGAAACTGCTAACATGTCTTTATCAAGGGTGATAATATTGCACCTCATGTGTTAATTGACAGGTGTTGAAGACCTGATCAATTAAGTTTAGTTATCACCTGTGGAGTGCTTTTCCTGAAAATAATGTTTGACGTTCTCTTTTCATATATACAGTGGGCTAACCTATTTTCGTGCATATAAGGATTCAACACCGAATTTCGTCAAAGTTAAAAAAACGGAGATTTTTTTTTTATGTCTTAGATGTTTCCTCAGATATTCTACAAAATAATTAAAATTGGTTTGTTTCGATTTTCTTTATGAATCCCTCACTTTGACCCATATTTCATGAGAAACCGACTCGACAACGGCTGCAAAATGCGTCACCTATTTTCGTGTACAATTGATCTATAAATAAGTCGAGAAAAACACGTTGTATGGATACCCAGTGGTGTAATTAACTTGTCTTAGTATTCATCTTTAATATCATATAACTAGTGACCATTCCTTAAAAGATTTAAAAAATTCCGATTCGGCCGATAAAAAATTGTGACGTTTGGTAATCAGTAATCACTGAATTCCGCCATTTTGTATTTGTCAAAGTAGACATTAATACAATTTACCTTGCTTGCTGACATTGTACAAATAACCCATGTTTATCTAAACAAGCAAATGCAGAGGTCACGCGAGGTCGCACATGTAAATTATTAATCATTTCCGGACATGTACGAAAAATAGGTTAGCACGAAATTAGGTTACTTGACTGTACATATTGGGTAAATAGAGGACAACACCATGTAGTTTACAATAAAGAAAATTTGCTCGGTTTATTACAAAAATTTATAAGTTTATCAAAACAAAGTCATGGTCCGACTATCTGTATTGAAGCTTTAATTAAAATTCAAATGAATAAAAACGGACAAAATTCGATAAACAAACGAACTTGCAAAGAAAGTAGTTATAGGTGTTGCGGATGTTAGTTACTATTCTTGTACAGTTGTAATTAAATCGTTATGTTTGCGCCACGTATAATTGTACATCTTTAATATGTTACCTAACTAATGATATTATAGATACGGTTATTTTGTCTATTATTTGATCATTCTCTAGGAATTGAAAACCACCGGATTTGTCAAGTTACTCGGCAAAGGTATTTCACATATGAAGGGCTTCATCACTCCACATGGACTGGACACCCAGACGATTTTTGAATATGATTTCTTGACAAATCCACACCAATCATCGGCATTTGAATTAGGATGATCTTTCTCCCAAAGGTGTGGCTTTATTTGTATATTTAAATTAGTTCTACCATCAACAAATTCGAACGAACCACTAGGCTGAATATGGTACATCCCAAAATAAAACTGATCGTCTAAAAAATAAAACATTATTTATTCTTAGTAGTAGTTGAAAGGTAAAACCAATTTCAAACCCAATATATTTCACGGACAATACTCTTTCATTGAAGGTTATGCCTACATTCTGTGCTTTCCTAAAAATTGTTTTACTCCAATAGCAATACTGCTTACAGATTTACAGCAACTACTCCGCTTCACTCCACTTCGTTCCGTATTTGCTGTAAATCTGTAAGCGCTACTCCACTTCGCTACCAGGTTTTATTATTATGATACGATGTTATAATGATTTGCAGTCTAAACACCTGTGACCAACCGATGTTTATGATATTGATTTTATGATTAGTATGTATTTAAGTTTCATTACGTATTGATTGGGGGTTGCACAATCACATTTCTAGAAAGTATAGTATCTGTTATGTACTGATTGTTGTTAGTTTACTATCATTTAAGTTCTTATTTTTTGAATATGCAACTGTCATTTTCTGCTTAGAGACATGGGGAATTTCTCTTGAAGGCTCTTAAAGTGGGCATGAACTATCTTGCTTGCTCCATTGCTGGTTGTTTTGAACGGGACAACAAAGGGTGCTATGCCTACATTATGGTAAATATTTAGTCCTATAGGTCTTGCCGTATTCAATGTTTGAATCCAATGGGCTTCCCTAGATTGACGGAATTTGGTAGTTTCATCTTCGGGCAAGTCAATTTCTATGCGCTCACTTAGGATAAGGGTGAGATCGTCTATTGAATGGTCGTCGAGGTTGAAATGATTAGAAACAGGCTTGCCTTTCTTTAATTCTGTGAGCATTAAACGAGTTCGTAATTTATTTTTAGTTCCTCCTACATATTGTTTGGGGCATTTCTTACATGAAATTAAATATATTACATTCGAATGTTCAGATGTTTGTTCCAGGATCGGGTACCTTTTATTCGTAGAGTTACTTAAAAAATAATGAGTTTCTGACATGTTTTGCATCTACTGGACAAACATGGAGATACTTCGGCATAAAACCTGTTTTTAGCTGCTATCTGTGCTAAAGTGGAATTTTTTGTTTCGTAAAAATCGTTTAGAGTACCCTGGCTCTTTTAGTTTTGAGAAAACAATCGTACAGAAAATTCGGTGAAATAGTAAAGCTTGTGATTATACCAGAAAAGGTATATTTTGGGTGAAAGGAGCTCATGTGCAAGAGTTGATGAGTATCAGTTTCTTTGAAATACACTTTAATATCCAATTTATTTTATTGATTATGATTCATACACAATTGTGGCATTGATTCCAGAACCTATTGTATGGAGATTGGTTTACTCTCCTAAAGTGTTTCGGTCACAATTTGCTTTACCAAATGATCAAGATGAATGATAACCGTACCAGGACATTAAACAATTCATGTTCTTTCCTGTAGAAAAAGAAATAAATCGCAACATATTGGGATCTGCAACAACTAAAAGATCTCCACCTTCATTTTGACATGTAGATCTAGCCTCGGACCATTGCTGTCTTGAATCGTAAATGCGAAAACAAATATTTCGTTTCCTTGTGGTTTGAAATCTGAATGGATGGAAACATTTATTAGTTGGCATCTGTTCTGCGGTGGTGAGCTGAGTGGTGGTAGCATATGCAGCAACATTCACCACATGAGCT